GACTAGTTGATATATTGAAAAGCACGTATGATAAGAATGGGATAGTGCGATGTAGCAGAGTTTGATCACAAGGATTTGACAGTAAGGAAAAAAGTGAAACATACAGTGGCTTCCAAATAAAACTGTTTACTAACAATTTGCGAATCTGTAAAATTCTCTATCCTTCAGCAGACATACTGTGCGGTTTGAAAATGCTGAATTCAAATATACAAAGTAATGTTAACTGAGAGTGCACGGACAACTTTCGAGTGGTTCTTCTTATAAGCGAATCGAAACGTCTGAAGACATGCACAATATTCTACTATGGACAGCCATTTTATTCCAAGCATTTATGGTAAGCACCTGATGGCAAGAAAGAAATACAAAGACTCTAAATCATGTGATGAAAGCGAATGCAAATTAATCTCAAAAGCTGTAATGACACTAACGTACTTTGTTAGTCATGTAGGTATCACAAACTCTAGTCAATGGTACAACTTCATTAATAAATTCAAGTATTAGCTTTTCCTATGTGAACAATACCCATATTGCACGACTGACGAAACTGCCAACGACTGACACCCAACGTAAGTTTAACTTAATATAAGATCTTCGCAGAGCAGCTCCGCTCGGAGCTAAAATATCGAACTCATCTGAACTGTAGCGCTGTATTACTAACTGCTAAGCTACTTTTTCAACGCGCGAGAATTGAGTTAATTTCACAAAATTCCATTCTTGTTCCCTTCTCCTGACAAAATACCATTACAAAGTTCTCAAACATCACTTCCCGGTATTTCAATATCATTATGAGTGATGAGCAGCTTTAAAGTCACTAGCACTAGCCAACAAGACAATTCTCATACAAGTTCGTAACATTCTCCTGCGCAACCCAAAAGAACACTAATTACTAATATGATCAATATGTAACCAAAATAGCACATTAGTCTACAACTACATCCTGACCTTCAACTGAAATCTCCACTAAATTCTTGAAATCAAATGCTCAATTTTGTAACAAATATTAATCCAAACCAGATAACGATAGCAGATACAAACTACAAGGATTTGTTCCAAAGCATCTTTCACAAAAACCAATTACGTGGATCATTCTACTGCGCAAACGAGACGTGCAAATTAAACACACCGACTCTGAATTAAGATTTGCACACACTAAATCACATCTGATCTTGTGGGTGATGTGCGGTTAAAATCAGGCCTTTCGCCACGTCAAGATCTACATTAATTAGGAGAGCGCGTCAGATAGCATAAACTGAGCATACGTTCAATTCACCTGTGCGTATGCTAAACGATGTTATGTTATCGTCATATCCAGTCTTCTATCGTAGTTGCATTACATGCATAATTACCTCCTGCTATCATCGGTTGAAATCTGATTTCACAGGTTGTACTGCTTGGATTTTGCAAGCATGTCTCCACAAGAATAGTCCCGTTAGTCACAATCGAGCCGTTTCCACAGGATTGATCTAATAGTTGACAGATCACAATAACATTATCTAAATTTCCATCTGGCTTCACCAATGACATTTGTGTCGTCTTATTTTGTGGGTGATGTGCGGTTAACATCAGGCTTTTCGCCACGTCACGATCTAAATTAATTAGGAGAAGGCGTTTGAGGTCATGGGGCGGTCG